CAACTCGTTTTCCAGACAACCTGAATCATTTACTTTCTCTACTCGACTTATGTCTTGTTTCTGAGCCTAGTCAGTGCTCAGTTTCTTCACACTCACCCTTAGGTGCTTTTGATCATGGTTTGGTCTCTCTAAAACTATTATCTCATTCTTCTTTACCATCAGAATCCCCCTATCATCGTACATCTTACAACTACTTTAAAGCTGACTGGGACTCTTTCTGTGATTTTCTTTGTGATGGCCCCTGGGTAGAAATCTTTCGTCTCCCTGTTGACATGGAATCCTTTATTCCCTCTCAACGATTCCAGGTCAAGCCTCACTCTTCTCCATGGTTTTCCTCACATTGTGCTGCTGCAACTGCCAATTGAAATCATTACTTCCATTTCTATCAGCAAAACAATTCTCCAGAAAACAGACGTCTGTTTATTACTGCTAGGAACCATTGTAAAAAGGTTTTGTCAAATGCCAAAGCCTGCTATTCTCAGATCATAAAATCTGGAGAATCTTTAATAGTATCAATAATAAGGGCAAGTCTGTAATTCCACCTCTTTTGTATGGTTCAGACTTTGTCACCTCATCTAAAGACAAAGCTGAATTGTTTGCCAAGAACTTTTCATCAATATCATCTCTTGATGCCACTTGATCCATTGCTCGACATTCGTATCACTCCAGCTTCTGTATCTAAAGTGATTTCCCGCTTAGACTCTTCTACAGCTTGCGGTCGGGACAACATACCTGTTATAGTCTTGCAGAAGTGTTCTCCGGAGCTGTCGTCTATCCTTTCAAAACTATTTAACAAGTGCTTATCAGAGTCTTGTTTTCCAGCCTGCTGGAAAGCAGCCTCTGTTATCCCTATTTTTAAAAATTCTGGAGAGCGATTCGATTCGTCCCCTTAGTCTTCTTCCTATCATAAGCAAGGTTTTTGAATCTTTAATTAACAAACACTTAATCTCTCATCTCGAATCTCATAACCTACTTTCTGATCATCAATATGGATTTCGATCTTCTCGTTCTTTGGCTGATTTGCTGTCAGTAATATCCGATAGGTTTTATCGCGCATTAGATAAAGGTGGAGAGGTTAAGGCCATTGCTCTTGACATTTCTAAGGCGTTTAATAAAGTTTGGCATACTGGTCTTCTCCATAAGCTTTCTTCTTACGGTGTATCTGGAAACATCTTTAAGATTATTGAATCCTTCTTTTCCAATCGTAGTATAAAAGTTGTCCTTGATGGACAGTTCTCTTCTTCTTATTCTGTAACCTCAGGGGTTCCTCAAGGTTCAATCCTTGGCCCTATACTCTTTTTAATTTACATTAACGATCTTCCAGATATTCTCACATCTAAGGTGGCATTGTTTGCTGATGATACTACCATTTATTCTTGTCACGATAAGAAGCCAACTCCCTCTGATTGCTTGCAGGGTGCATCTGAGCTTGAAAAGGATCTTACTTCTGCTACAGCATGGGGCTCACAGCGGCTGGTGAACTTTAATTCAGATAAAACTCAATTTTTTTTCGGCTAATCGTTATCGCAATAGTTTAGACCTTTCTATATTTATGAACGGTAATGTACTCAATGAGTCTCCTACCCTTCATCTTCTAGGATTAACTCTTACTTCTGATCTTTCTTGGTAACCTTATATCAAATCTGTTGCAAAATTAGCATCTGCTATAGTTGCTTCTCTTTATCGAGCTCGTCACTTTCTTACTCTGGATTCTATTCTCTATCTCTATAAATCTCAAATCCGGCCTTGTATGGAATACTGTTGCCATATCTGGGGTGGATCTTCTAATGATCCCCTTTCTCTTTTAGACAAGGTGCAAAAATGCATTGTAAACATAGTTGGACCTGCTCTTGCAGCCAACCTTCAACCTCTGTCACATCGTCGTAATGTTGCTTCTCTTTCTCTTTTCTACAAATACTATAATGGGCACTGCTCGAATGAGCTAGCGTCTCTTGTGCCATCTACTAAAATTCATTCTCGTGTTACTCTTCATTCAATTAAGTCTCATCTCATTCTGTTACTGTTCCTAAGTGCTCCAAAAACTCTTATTCGTCTTGTTTTTTTCCTCGAACATGAGTTCTTTGGAATTCACTTCTTTTATTATGCTTTCCTGATTCATATAATTTGCAATCTTTTAAGTCGTTTGTCAATTGTTATCTTGCTCTACAATCTTCATCTTTTCTCTTCCAGTAACTTTCAACACTAATTAGTGATTGCTTGCAGCGTTGTTGGAAGCAAAGATAAATAAATATAAAAAGTAAAAAAAAATATGCTGAGCAGTGTTTATCGTATTTGCTTGCTGCAAAATATGCATGATCATCTAACACTTTATTATATACAAGTTCATAGATTTTACATTGCAAAAGATAAAATAAAAGCCTTCAAGATTTAAAAAAGTCAAATTAAATTGATATATAATGAACATGAATTAAAAAACATCCTCTTATTTGGAACAAAAACAAAGAGAAAGTGAGATAACGTGAACCTACTAAAACAGCTATTTTCATAACCACATATTTAAAAAAAATATTATTGGTATATAGCTCGTGAAGTAGTAAAGTACTTCATGTATAATTATAGTTTTATGGTTTAGTAACTTTGTAATAAAAATAGCAATACAAGATTGAATAATTAAAATAATATAATTGTCTTTTTAATTTTAAAATAATAATGACAACACTGCTATTTTACATATATTTTATATATTTAAAAAAAATTTAGTTATGAACAAGTCTAATAACATCATTTTTTTTTGGCACGACTTTATACTATATTAATACCACGACTTTATATTTATATTACCCGTGTAGCTTAATACATTTCATTTCCAGCTACTAAAAAAATGTTTTATTTTATTTTTTTTATTATTATTGAAGCCAAAGTCATTAAAAGATGGGTTGCCCTTGCAAGTACTTTGTGGTTGTTGGTGTCAAAAATAATTTTCATAAATTCTATTACATTATGGAATAAGCTATTCCATAATGTATTAGAATTTTTAATACAGCAAAAATTTATTACTTATGGAGCATGTTTAATACTTCTTAATAAATATTTTGTCAACCTTATATGCTCAAAAGTAAGTTTAGATATAATACAAAAGCCACATTCTCTGTCTTCATAGAGTATATAAGCAATATAGTTCTACAATATAAACATACCATCCTTATATATATCTTTTTTTTCTGTATGTTTTAAGTTAGATAAATCATATTTAAATAAAACTGTTACAAGTTGTCTTATTTTAATGTAGTAGATTAGGGTATAAATGTATTATTTTTAATGCCTTTTGAACAACTTGCGATTTGCAGAAACATCATCACAAGTTACAAGCATCAACTTTTAAGAAGTTTAGTTTACAAATTTTAATTGTTTTCTAAAGTAAAGAAACCTTTTCTGTGCAGTGGCACCAGTTGTGAAAGTCAGCTAGATTAGTCAAGTATATCATCATACACCGAAGCTGACTTTAAAACTAGAGGATTAACATGGAATATTTTAGTTAAAAACCTTAGTTTTTGAGATATTATTTTTATGTATTCATCAAAATAGATAATAAATCATAGCTTAAACTTAAAGTCAAGATTTGAAATAGAATTCTGTAACTTAATTTAATACTCTGTCAATTTCAAATAGAATTCTGTAATCTTTTTTTAATTTACTGTATTTTTTTTTAATAAATATTGTTTGATTTATGTATGTTAGTGATGCAATATTTGGTTGCAGATTTGCATCATCTTTATTGCATCAAGTATAATTTTTTTTTGCTATTATATAAATTGTAATTAAGCATAAAAACAAAAAATTATATTTGAGCTTTTGAATTTTAGTTAAAGAAGCTTTGGTATACAAGCTATTTTTAAAGTATTTATTAAAATCTTTATTGTTTTTTTACTGAATAAGTTTTTTACTTAAAAATAAAAATAGAAAAACATTTTTGCACAACATTTGTTGTAATACTAAGCATTTATACCCATATACATCCATCTAGTTATACAGTCGATGAAAGGTTCGCATCTATAACATATTTTCATATAGCATATAACTTATGCTTATATAATAAAAGCTATATATTTTGAGTATGCATATTTGTACCACTGCCAACTCTGTCAATTACATTACATTTAACAGTTGGTGTCTTTATTTTATGCTATATTCATTATTTTTATTTGAAATACAAAATATATATGCAATCTAAAATAATAACTTGAAACTGAATAACCAAAAAATAATTTTTTTATATATTGTATATATGTTGATGTATACTAAATATATAATATTTAGATATATGTAAAATATAAAATTAATGGGTTTGATTGATGTTAAATTTTAGTATATTTATTGTTAAATGATGTTCCATACGCAAGTTTTACTTTTTTGCTAGAAATTTCTCTTTTTTAAGCCTATTATACCTTTATTTCCCCTTTTTATTTCATTAATAGAAATGAAGTTTCTTGTAAACATCAAGAATATGCATAAAACACATGATTAAGTTGTTAAAATAACACTAGTGATTGTACATATCAACCATTTCGTAAAAAAAAAAATTTAGTAGCTAATAGGTAAAACTGCTTTTAAAATTATTAACTAGTGCAAAAAATTTTATTTTTGCAGAGTTTAAAATTTTTTAATTTATTACTCACTGACTTATTAAAAATAAAAAACAATTTGTTAAACTGTAAAAATATATTTAAGAAGTAAAACAAATTCAAAATATTAGCATATTTTTATTCATTTAATTATGTACAAAATATTGTAGTGTCAAACATAGAAAAAATAAACAAATTATTTAAAAAAACAAAAATAAAAACGAATACAAAAATCATTCCATAACATTTTTTACACAATAACATTTCTACATTGTTTGGTTTTTACACAATAACATTTCTACATTGTTTGGTTTTTACACAATAACATTTCTACATTTTGTTTGGTTTATCAATTAAACTAGTTTAGTAGTAATTTATACATATTTTGTTTTATTCAATTTTACAATACACTTATAGGGTTTAAACCAATCATCCACAAAACTAGAATGTGCCTCTAATCTTATTGCAAGTATACTTGGTATTGAATGTGGTGCATTGATGGGAGCAAATATTGCACAAGAAGTTGCAAAGGAAGAATTTTGTGAATCAACAGTTGGTATATTGTGTTGTTAAATTTTAACATAGATTTAAAGTTAACCTTCTTTATGTTTTGTGGGTTTTTCAGAAAGTTCAATTTTTTTTTAGGCTATAGTGACTCTGAAAAGTGGTGGATGTGGAAAGCTCTTTTTCATTGCTCTTATTTTAAGGTTAATTGTGTAGACGATGTAAATACAGTGGAGATTTGTGGTTCTCTTAAGGTAACTTTAAGATATTTTGTTTTTAGGCTGTCTTAATTTTTCATTATTTATTTTATTAATTTCAATTTACAGAATGCTGTTGCTATGGCTGCGGGTTTTGTTGATGCTTTAGAGTAAGTCGAAAATCTCATATTTTTATTATACCAAGTTTTAATTTTTTCACTTTAATGTTTTCTTAAAATGTTCAATTTTTTTATGTTATTCGCCTCCTCAAGACTGAGGGGGTTACTATGGTTGAGGAGGTTTTTTTATATATATTTAGGTTGCAACTATTTAACTTTAAAACACAAAACACAAAAGTTAAGCGTGGTACTACCAGGATGTAGTGGGGATCAAGTTCTTAACTTTTTGCTTATGAAGCAAGTGCTCTACTACTACCATACTTTAATTCTTTAATTCCAGTGTTAAAATCATTTTTAGCATTTTCAGACGCCCTCATTTATGAAGTTTTGGAACAGACATCCTAATTAATTTTTCAAAAGAGATTATTCTATGAAATTTAAAAATTGTTGATGAATATAAATTTAGCTGTGAATAGTAATAAAAATCTTTTATCAACTTGTTGCTTTCACATTTGGGACAGGGTAGGTGAAAATCTAAAGCAATCATTGCAATTTTTTGCTAAATATCCTTATTTGCTATAAGCATAAAAATATAAATGTTTGGAGTTTGCTCATGTCTGGTTAGCTATCGCAGACACCAAAGAATGCTGCATTCGCCCCTAGTATATAAACAGTGTTTGTTATTTTTATGTTGGTAAAATAATGTGGTTTTGCATTTGAGCTTTTACTTTTTGTATATATTTAATATATTATGTATGTATACCTTGATATTATTGTTATTGTTTTTAACAGTTTTACAAAATAATGGGGTGTAGCAGTAGAGCACTAGCTTCATAAGCAAGAAGTTTTGATCCCCCACCACATCCTCGGTAGCTATCTTTTGTAGCACATCCTTGAAAATAGTTTCTCAATTATTTTGCCTGATATAGATATGATATTATATGACAAACAGAAAAAAAATCATGTCATATGTGGTAATGGTGTAGTGGTAGAGTGCTTGCCTCATAAGCAAGAAGTTCCAAGTTTGATCCCTACCACGTCCCTGGTAGTACTGTGCTTAACTTGTTTCCTTGCAGCCATCTTGTTTGTCAAGGTTTGTGTTTTGGAATTAAAGTGTCAAGAGAGGGTAAATCTTTTAGTAACTACTAAAGGCAGCCTCCTGGATTGTAGTGGCCTTCTTGGCGTTGAGAAGCACAACAATACTGAAACAGAGTTTAATTGGCTGAAATAACATAGGGTTGTGCCATACCTTTTTGGAATGGTTAGAACCATATCATTCAAGGAAAGTTAGTGTGAAGTCAAACTAATCTTTAAAAAATATTTGGAATTATGCAGGGGTCAATAGGTCCCGGATTTTGGTATCCCTTCCTTGGTACCACTCTAATGCAAAAATCTTTTTCAACATTTACATTTTAATTGTTTGTTTATAATGCTAATGAACCATTGAAAATCATTTAAGTGTCTTGCAATTTTGTACTATTTATTTTAAAGTTTTGGCGATAACACAAAAGCAGCAATTATACGACTTGGGTTACTAGAAATGCAAAATTTTTGTAAAATATATTCTGAAGGTGGTCATGCAAGCACATTATTTGAATCTTGTGGTGTTGCTGATCTTATAACAACCTGTTATGGTGGCAGAAATAGAAAAGTAGCTGAAGCTTTTGCAAGAACTGGAAAAGTAATTTTTATTTAGTTAGTGCTCAACTAATGTTTTCATAAAAGTTATTATAAATAAGATTGTTCTATCACACATTGTTCAGGTTGATACACGTTTAATTGTTTATATGTTTTAATAAAATGATTTATTGAAATGATAAAAATAATTGAAGAATCGGCTTAATCGATGTAATATAGTGATGTACCGATTAATCGGTACATCACTAGTGTGTATGTGCGTGTGTGTGTGTGTGTGTGTGTGTGTGTGTGTCTATATATATATATATATATATATATATATATATATATATATATATATATATATATATATATATATATATATATATATATATATATATATATATATATATATATATACATATATATATATATATATATATATATATATATATATATATATATATATATATATATATATATATATATATATATATATATATATATATATATATATATATATATATATATATATATATATATATATATATATATATAGACACACACACACACATACATACACACACACACACACACACACACTAGTGATGTACCGATTAATCGGTACATCACTATATTACATCGATTAAGCCGATTTTTAATCGGCCACTTTTTGCACAATCGGAATCGCCATCAGCCTTTTTTTATCAATTTACCGATTTTCCAACTAATTGTATTTTAATATTTTTATCCTGCATTATGATATAATTTAATAATAAATAAACTAATCTTTATGCATTACTTTTAGTTTTTTTTTAATTTTTTTGAGAAATTGTTTATTTTGACTTTGTTTACAGACAATAATTTTTATTCTTAAGATGATGTTTACAAGTTTTAATTTATCAGCTGAATGAACTTATACTTTTATTACGATAATAATGTTTTTACAATAATTTTATTTTGTGTTGTTCTATTGTTGTACTTAAAAGTAACTTATTTAAACATTGTTATCTATATGTGTTCTAATATAGCATACTATATATATATATATATATATATATATATATATATATATATATATATATATATATATATACAGGGGTGGGACCGCAAAATGTGAACACTTTTCTGATTGTAATAATTAATTTTCTGTTAAATATGAACTATTTTAAATAAGAATGTCCAATGGTTGGACATTCTTACTTAAAATAGTTCATATTTAACAACTCTTTAGACACTTTCTGATGAGTGAGAGAGTACAACTACATCTAACGAGAAAATAGTTATAATAAAACAAAAACGTTCACATTTTGCGGTCCCACCCCTGTATATATATATATATATATATATATATATATATATATATATATATATATATATATATATATATATATATATATATATATATATATATATATATATATATATATATATATATATATATATATATATATATATATATTACTTTCAAAAATAAGATAAATTTTTTAATTTTATTTAAAAACATTTTATTATTTAAGACATATTTCAACTATATATAGTCATCGTCAGTTAAAATATATTTATTAAAAACGGTATAAAGTATAGTATATAATTGTAAAAATAAACATAATAAAAGCCATAAAATTGTAAACAAACTTCCTTTATATAGAAAAAAATTTATTAAAATTAGTTTAACAAATGTTAAATATAAAAAAAGAAACCGGTAACTTATATTAAATTATAAGAGTCATTTTAACATGTTTTACTTGTTTATTCACATCGGGTTTTTCCCATCTTATATATGAATGCTTTCTTTAATTTTTAATTCAATTTTGTTTTTAGCACGATCCAAAATCAAAAAGCATTCATCATTATAATTTTTAAAACATTTTTCTTTTGAGTGAAGATGTTTATAAGTAAGAGAGTTTTTATCCCTTTTGTAGTGTTTAATCACTCGCGTCTTTAGGTGGCGAGAGGTTTCGCCAATATAACAGAATTTACATCCTGCACAAACAAATTTGTAGACGACGAATGATTTAAAATGTACAGGAAGGTGATCTTAAGATGAAAAAAAATTATACACTTTTAACGAAGTGAATACTAATTTTACGGTAACAACTTACAATGTCTCTTTATAATTGCGTGTAATCTTCGTTTCGTTAGCTCAGATATTCGACCAATATAAGGAAGTTTGAAATAGTGAGAGTTTGTAATGTCTTCAGACGGTAATAGAACGACATAATTATCTTTAAGTAAGAGTTGTGGATTTTTTCTATTAGCCAAGATAGGTACATATTATGTTTGAGAATTTTGAAAAGATTTTTAATATCATTGCAGAGACCAAGGGTAGTGTTGTTAATTTTGAAAGTTCTATCAATTAATGAAAAAATTTGAAATAAAGGGTTGCCATAAAACATAAAAACAAGGTCGGCCATTTTTTGCCAACCTCAAACACTTTAAGGTCTACAATTAGGTTGGCAATTAGGTTGGCTTAGGTTTATTCCGAGGGCTGTATTTATATAAGATTTGTTGCGATTTATATATGTTTGTGTTTTATATATATATATATATATATATATATATATATATATATATATATATATATATATATATATATATATATATATATTGTTGATTTTTAAATCTAATTTACAGTCTTTTGAAACGTTGGAAAAAGAGATGTTAAATGGACAAAAATTGCAAGGTCCGCATACTGCTCTGATAGCATACAATTTTCTTCGAGAAAGAAACTTACATGAAAAGTAAGTTTTGTTTAAAAAGACATTCTTTAAATATTTTTCAAAACTTCGCTGTATTATGTTGTACTATTTTTTTTTTTTTTTTCATTTTCAGTTTTCCAGTATTCAGTTCTGTCTATCGTATATGCTATGAAAACAAACCACCGTCGTTTTTAATTGATACGCTAAAAGAACGCTTTTAGCAACTGCTTTATATTTTAAATTTTTCATATGTACATGTTTTTGTTTTGTTTATCTCAACATTATTTAATGCGTGTTTCTTAGACCATATTTTATTAATTATTAATAACACTAATTTATTACTAATTATTATATGGAGTTTTATCTTTTTTTAAATTTATTTTGTTGATTTATTTAACTTTTTAAAAAAAAGTGCTAGTTTTTTCAAAGCGATGGAAAAGTGCAAAATTCCAAAACAAATTCGCTTCTATAACAATGACACATTTTGATCATATAAAGTTTGTGTTTTGCATCTTTGATAATTTTTAACTCTTTTGAACATAACTAGAAAAACTAACAGACAATTTTCTAATTCGATTGCGCAAGTACTTTTTATCAGCTTGAAAAAGAAGCCAGTAAGGGAAAAAATGTCGAAATTCGAAATTATGAAGCTAAATTCATAATTTCGCTCCTAAAGATGTCTTATTCTAACTCAAAAATTAAAGCAAGAGTTGGAAAAAGATGAAAGAGTATTGCTCTTTATTTGTGGTTGTTTTATAATTGTCCTTACTAACCCCTTTTTATGTTTCAAAAATAGTTGCGCAATCGAATGATGAAGAATGAAAGAGAAATGGTATTCCCTATTAGTTAACAAGTCCAGATAATTTTATTTAAAAAAAACAACCTTAACTGTGTTTACTTAGTAGAGGTTAACAACTATGTATATCCGTAAAAATCATATAATAACACTATGTAACACAATTTTTGTTTCTGGCTTCTAAATGTTATATTTTAATTGCTCATGTCTGAAGTTTGTAAAAGAATGCCTAAGCACAAACTTGGCTTACGCGACAACAGTACAAAGGAAACTCGTTTTTTTGTGAAAAAAGAACGATTTTTTTTTTAATTTTCGTCATTATAATCAGGTAAAAACAAAAATGCACATAGAATAGACAAATAGTCGAAAACCTGAAACAAGGAATAGACAAACGCAGTTGGAAGGCCAACAAGTTTTCCTTGAATATCGAAAAAAACAAATACATTCTTTTTACTAAACCAATGATCATTAAAATTTCCAGATATTTTAGTTGAGAAAACAAAAATTAAGAGAGCATTTACTGTGAAGTTTCTGGGAGTAATACTAGATGAGCATATTAACTGGAAAGAGCACATCAAGTTATTAGAAAATAAAATATCTAAAAGCATTGGGATTATGTATAAAACCATAGTCATAGTATTTAACTAGTCTGGAAACGCGGGCCGTTTTCTTAAAACTCTTAAGTTCCTCTCTATACTAGTGCTCAGCCTACTTTAGAGTGCATCAAATTGTAAACATTTTATTTCGCTATAGATAAGTTGGGGTTGTCCATTAATTACGTCAACAATTTTTTTGAATTTTTTAAATACTCTCCCCCCCCCCCCTCCCCCTAAAAAAAGAAGCTACGCTACAAACTCAGCCGTTATTTAAGCAATAAAACTCAAAAAAAAAATTGTTGACAGCAACTTTAATTGACCTCCCCCCTCCCTCTTGTCAACAATTTTCAAAAAAGTTCAGACCCCTCCCCCCTATCTTGTTGACGTAATTTATGGACAACCCCTTACATATATTCTGGGATAAATATTGAAATGGCATGAACAAATTGTGATTTTTTTGGTTATTCAGTTTCCAGTTAATATTTTGATTGCATATGTATTTCGTATTCTGAATAAAAATGATGAATATAGCATAAAATAAAGACATCAACTGTTGATAAATGTAGTTGTGTGACAGAGTTTGTAGTGGTATAAATATGCTTATTCAACCATATAGCTCATATCATATAAGCATTTAAGTTATACTATATGAAAATATGTTATAGATGCAAACATTTCATCGACTGTATAACTTGATGTATATGGGTATAAATGCTTTGTATTATATTCAGAGTATATTTATTTAAAATGTTAGCTAACAGAGCTTAATAAACTCTATATTCTATGTATAGTTTACTTAGCTGAATTAGTTGATAATTTATGTATCTCTCTTATTTATCAACACTATGTTGGTATCTTTTCTGGTAACAGGAAAAAATTAGGTACAATTTTATCATTTTGAATTGTTTCAAAGCTAAATTAGATAATGTTAGTACCTTTAATGATATGTTTATTCCCCTTAACACAGCATATTTATCTACCTTAGAGAGAAAAGTATATTTTAATTATTACATAAATTATATTAAAAATAATAATTTGTTGTTTAATTTTCTACCTTATAAAGAAAAAAAAATGTACCTTTAAAGATATAATTTTTTACCTTGGAAGGTAGAAGATTTTACCTTACTATGTGCATATCACATATTTTTCCCTACGGTAGAACTTCTACCTCTTTTACAAGTGCTATACTAACAATGAATGTTGTGCAAAAATTTTTTTCTATTTTTATTAATAAGTAAAAAACTTATTCAGTAAAAAAAAATAGGATTTTAATAAATACTTTAAAAATAGCTAGTATATCAATGCCTCTTAAACTAAAATTCAAAAGCTCGTTTACAAATTTTTGTTTTTATTATGCTGTATTGCAATTTTTATAATAGCAAATAAAAAAAATACACTTGATGCAATAAAGATGATGCAAAAGTCTGCTACTAAATATTGCATCACCAACATACATAACTCAAATTTAATTTAATTATAAAAAAAGTACAGTGTATTAAAAGAAGATTACAGAATTCTATTTAAAAATCACAGTGTATTAAATTAAGTTACAAAAATTTATTTTAAATCTTGATTTTAAGCTATAATTTAATATCTATTTTGTTGAATGCAGAAAAATAATATCTCAAAATCTAAGATTATCTTCAACTAAAATAAGATATTCCATGTTAATTATCTAGTTTCAAAATCAGCTGCAGTGTATGATGATATACTTGACTAATCTAGATGATAAACTTGACTTTTACAACTGGTGCCACTGCATGACAAATGTTTCTTTTGCTTTAGAAAGCAATTGAAATTTGCAAACTAAATTTCTTAAAAGTTGTTGCTTGTAACTTGCGATTTTATGCATATCGCAAGTTGTTGAAAAGGCATTTTAAATGATTCGTTTATGCCTAATCCACCACATTTAAATAAGACAACTTGTTACTGTCTTATTTAAATTTAACTTATCTTAACTTAAAACATATGGAAAAAAAAGATATATATTAAAGGATGGTAATTTTATGCAGTGGAACCATATTGCTTATATATTCTATGAAGACAGAGAATGTGGCCATTGTATTTTACCTAACCTTACTTTTGAGCATATAAAGTTGACAAAATGTTTATTAAAAAGTGTTAACCATGCTGCTTTTGGTGGTAGAGCACAAAAAAGATTTTTATGAAAGATTTTTAAAAAAGTTTTAAAAATATACAGAAATGCTTCGCTAAGAAAAATAAAATGTTTTTGAAAAAAAAAAATTTCAAAAAAGTTAACCAAAAATCCATAGTGGCGCAAAAACACTGTAAATTAAGACAAAATTCTCATGTTTTCAAAACACGTCATCTTGAGTTAGACTTAAAAGCCACGAATCAAACTTTGCAGATCTGTTGATGACCTTATTTTACTTCATTTAACAGGTAGATTTTTAATTATTCCTTTAATATGTAAAGATATGAAGATATAATGTAATCAATAAGCCTTGAGAGTTGTAATCGAATTAATAAAATAAAAGTTTGTTGAATATGTTTTTAACAACTATTCGATCAATCAAGAAGTTAATTAAAACAAAAATCACGATTAAGGTGAAGTAATTGTTTCTTGCGTACCTCATTTATAGGTATAAATATCAAAGTTTTTGACAATCTCTACTACCTATTTGAACCTTATTTTTTGCTTGCCTGCTCAGCTATAGGTTAGTTACGTTCTTTAAGACTGGTCTTTCGGCCAAGAACTTATTAAATCCCGCCAGGATTTTATTTTGTGTTGGAGTATTTTTGCTAGATTTGCTTTATTCTAAATATAAAATACATGGCAAAAATATAAAGAGATAGAAAATACTACTTATTCTTATCTAGACATTTATTAATTCAATTCTAATTTAGAAATTTATTATTAGTCGTTCAAAAAGCACAACAAAAAAATAACAACTAACTGATTTTAAATATTGTTTACGAATTTTTTAAACTTCCTTCTTTTTATTTATTGCTAATGACGTTTTGAAACAATATCATTAGATAGCTTTTGCTAAAATTGGAATGTGATTGGTTAACTTTTAATTATAATAATTCCGCTGAAAATTGTTACTACTAAGAGACGAGAAATGACGTATTTTAACTTCGTTTTCCTCCAGCTACGCTATTATAACTCCTTGGTTTTATCATAGTCATAGTATTTAACTAGTCTGAAAACGCGGGCCGTTTTCAATAGATTTCGTAAAATAACTTGAGCTTTAATGGGTGACCGGACTGAGAGTGCATCAAATGTTTTTAAAATGACTTTTTGTAGCGTAGACTTTAAAAACTTGAATGAATTCGATGCTGTTTTGGCTGCTATCGAGTTTCTATTTGTTGGAGGCATATCACAATTTTAGTTCAAACATTATACTACCTATTTTAATTTATCCGAGCCAAAGTGAAGAAAGAATATTTATGTGTTTGTTTTGCAAGAAACGATGTATATCACACGGTGACTCGTCACCTCAACGCCAAGCACGAGGACAAGATTACTGATAAACATTTAGTAAAGAATAAAAGATAGCAAAGATTATTCTTCATCCTATTAGATTTTATAATTATTTAATCAAGATTACAGTAAAGCTTGCTTCAGATAAATGGTACCTTGCTAGAGGCTGACATTAAAAGTTGAAAATCAAGTATAAATATTTCAATTATTTCAAGAAGAAATCATTACAGCTTAGTTTCTAGTAAAAATGTAAAGGTAGGTATAATCGGCGGGGCGGGTTAGAGGGGCGGATCATTTTAACGGTACAAACTGCGGGGTGGATAATTTAAATATTGCTAACATTTTATAATGCAAGTCATTAAATAAAATAAAAAAAACTTCATTAAATAAAATAAAAAAAACTTTTTTTATTATTTTTTTATTTGATAAGCATTTTTTATTGAATCAGATATAGTTTAAGTTCATTAAAGAAATAATATTTAAAAGGTATTTGCAAATTATAATTTTAATAAACGACAAAAAATATTATATAATTTTAAGATCATTTTTACAAAAAACAACGTGATCTGCCAATTTATATCAAGTGATCCGCCAAACTTTATATAGTAATCCGCCTTATATTTTGATTGCTTATATCAAACTCTTTAAGTTTTACCAATTTTTCTACCAAGAAACAACGTGATCCGCCAAACTTTATGATGTGGTCAGCTTAATATTTTGATCGATTAAATCAAACTCTTATAGTTTTAATAATTTTCTTACCAAAAAACAACGGGATCCGCCAATTTATAATACAAATAAATATAAATTGCGGATAAATGGCGGATAAAAATTAGCGGATTACTTGATATAAATGGCGGATCACGTTGTTTTTTGGTAGAAAAATCATTAAAACTTTAAGAGTTTGATTTAATCGATCAAAATATTAGGCGGATCACTTTATAAAGTTTGGCGGATCACTTGATATAAATTGGCGGATCATGTTGTTTTTTGGTAGAACAATCATTAAAACTTAAAGAGTTTGATATAAGCAATCAAAATATTAAGCTGACCACATCATAAAGTTTGGCGGATCACGTTGTTTCTTGGTAGAACAATTGGTAAAACTTAAAGAG